TTCAATGTCAAGCGTAATACACATTCTGCTGTACTTTTGAATATATCGTAGCTAGTAAGACAAAATACTTATCGAGTTTATTATAGAAATAGAAACGCATTCCAAACGCTTATTTTAAACAAAAGTAAAAAACAAAACTGTCAAATTTATAAGCAACTTAAAATCCATAAACTTTTCAAATCTTAGAATTTAAAAATATTAATAAGCATTAACTATTAAGAAATCCAAAACATCTGTTTTTACTATCACTACTACTACTACTATTATTGTTGAAATAGTAGCTAGCCTAGGAAGAAATTAAATTCATATTGTTCACGTCACTAGTTTAAATCATCAGCATTTATTTGGAACAGTCTCGTATATTACATGTTGCTCGTTATTATAGTATATCTGCGAATTCTTAATATGACAAGAAGAACTAAAAGGCGATTATATTGTAATTAACTCATAAAAGTAAAACTCATCATATTATTTTATTTATTTTCCGCACACACATATGCACATATAAGGTGTAATAGCTATTTCTAACGACAAGACCGGCTTGACATCAATAATAGCTACGTATGTACTTTAGTTTTATTTTCAGCCGTTACATGAGGAATATAGTAGACACACTTAGAATATTAACATTCTTAAACATAATTTACAAAGAAGAGGTATTGGACAGCCGTGTTTAACATAAAAAGAAAAAAAGAATACTGAATGTTTTCTTTCCGTTCCAAAGTTTGCAGAATTACATTCATTTTGTGCATGGCACATACTGATATTGAATATCCCTCTAAAAGGAAATTCGGTGTATATTCTGAACAATTATCCAACGGCATCAATTAAACAATTACAAACATAATTAATTTATAGTGTATAATTAACAATAATTAATTTTAGGGTTCTCTTTTTGCATCAAAAGATATGGATAATTATATTAATTTATAAGTATTGCACAATTTAAACACCACACATTATTATTAGACTGATTTGCTTTTTAGATTAAATTTTAGATACTTGTACAATTTCATTACAATAAAAACAATTATTATCCCAGTTATTTTAAACTTAATGTAAGTGTAGATAACTGGAAGACTAACTGCAGTTTTTATTAGCACCGATTTAATATATTATACAGGCAGTATACATCATGAAACGAGTAATACTATCAGTACTATCATAAGAGAAAAAGCAATATCAAAAACATTTCTTTCAAAATTTCTTATAAGTACAATTAAATTTCAAATAGAATAGAGTACAGCAGAGGGATATTATGTTTACATGATTGTTAAAACGAATCAATTAATAAAGAACATGTGGCTTATGCTCACTTTAGAAACTCTCGTACAATAAAAAAAATCACAAATTTTATGTTCGCAAAAACTAAACATACTCAGTCTTCGAAAACACCTTCATTAATGATTGTCAGTTATTCGTGACTCTGAAATTCTGAACTTTATATCATATATTTCGCAGTATGTCAATTATTAAAAATAAAACAAGAATTTGTATTAATTAAGGCATACTTATGTACAAAACTAGAAATAATAAACCGTCATCTACAATGCAACATTCTTGAAGTAGATTCGTTAAAATAAAAATTTTCTTTTCTGTTGGCAGTTTACAGGTAACTATCTTTATGTTAAAAGAAGTTTTATCAAATTTAACAACACAAGTAACAGTATTTTATATTTAAAAACCCAACAAGGGAAAAGTCTGCACTTGAACAGATATCGATACATGTATGTAATTTTAGGTTCGTTTAATATAGATTATTTCAACATGTACTTTGTGTATACGTAGCAGCTATCAAATTTTAGTTTTGTATTTAAAAAGCCGACAATAGCTGATAAATACTTCTGAAATAAATATAAATTAAATATAACATTTTCTAGCAAAGGATAAGTATTTGCTGTCTTCTACTCTAAAAATTCTTTGAAAAGCATACTGTCAAAATATTTGTCTTTTCATCTATATATAGCGCTGTTGCAGCATTGCTTTGGTTTATAAGTATTTTAGTAATAGTAGCACATGATACGATCTTAAACTAAAATAAATATAAATATGTGTATAACGTTACTATAAAATCATTTGCCATAATTATACAACGTGTAATAAAATTTGAGCTCTACAGAACAAACTAATCATCGTGAACCTCCTATCCCATGATTTCAGTATTGAAGTACCAGTACAAACACCATGAATTAATTGGCACACAACCTGCATTCCCATCATAAGATATTCCCCCACTTTTTCGATTAGTTTAATTGGAGGCATATATCTCGCTATAGTTTCGTCGTCGATTCACAGGGCTAGCAAAAGCTGCAGCATTTTGAAGCCTGTCCAAAATGTTCTTTGCATATCCCCGTAATTTCGTTGCACACTTCATTCAACGTAACAAACTTATTAAGTTCAATATTTCGCACTACACTTTTAGCACGCTGCATTTTATTTGTATCTCCAGGAAGAGTTTTGGCATGTACTATAGAACTACACGACTGGGCCTTATATAAACGGCTTTTATTCAGAAATGCTGGTAATGGTAGAGACAATTTACGTTGCACTTGCAAGTACTTTCCAATTAAAGTTTTTTTCTTAGCGTCCTCTTTCAGTTCTACTGTAGGTTTAGCGGCCCTCCGGAGTTGCTTGTTATCGCCTATATGTTTTTCTTCCATGTTTGTTTTAATAGCTCCAGTTGTTAAACCGTGCCATATCCGTGCACCTAAACTACGAGCTTTAGAAGAGCTTGTAACACCCTGTGTAGTTGTAATAGTTGTCGTCAGAACAACCGACTGAATTTCTTCTTGTACTTCAGTAATTCTATTAAGAGACTGACTTTCACGTAAACGAGTTTCTCCATTTCGACGTTTTATAATTTTGTGCTTTTTCATTAAATTTGCCTCAGTTAAATTATTGGCATTCTTTCTCCCAGAATTATTATTTGAATTATTGTTGTTATTTGAAGTATTACGTGTCTTAGTTGAAGTATTCTGTGTCGTTTGAGTGATAATTGGAGGTTTAATGGAAGATGATCCTCCAGTGCTTGTTCCTGTACCAGGCTCCTGGGAGTCACTACTGTCATCATGAGAATCTCGCCTACCTTTTAAAGGTTCCTCTTTAGTAGAATTGAATTTATGCGCTCTCTTTTTACGATTTTCACTATCATCATCGCTAGCATCTGATGAGCTGCAGGACGCAGTCCTGCTTTTATGAAATTTTGAACGTCTATGTTCATATGAAACCCTTTTTTGATTTCGACTGACAATATTTCTTGATGAATGATGAAGATTACTGTCAATTCCATCTCCCTCTTCAAATATTTCGTTAAGCTGTAAGGGTGATGGTATAACAGGCGAGGTTCGTGTAGGTGAGGGCATTGTCTTAAAATTTGGGGCGAACTTCTGAGGTGGATAAGGAGAATTAGTGAGGACAGGTATCGAGATTGTTGAAGACTCGTTTAAAATACTTGTCGAAACAACATCAGGAATCTTTTTAGGCTTGTGAGGAATCGGTTGAGGGACGCTGTTACTCTTGTGCCACTTTGAGGGACTGTGTTGACTGATAACAGTTTTCTGTTGGTTATTAGTAATAGAATGAGAAAATTGCTTTACAACAGGCTTATGTATTTCGCGTTTTTTCTCTTCATTTTTGAACTCTTTTTCATTTAAGCACCCCTGAACTGTAAGATTTAACCGTCCTTCTGAACGTGAGCCACGTCTATTCAACGAACCATGGGTCTGAGAATCTTCGCGTCCAGAAAGATCTTCTTCCTCTTCATCTTCTTGTACTATACTGCACTTACGAGATCTCTAGAAGTAAAACATTAGATAGTATATAATTATCTGTTCTTTAATATTCAATTTACCTGCGGTAAATCTCCTGGAGTGCGAGGTACCGCTAGTAAGCATGGAGTACCCACAGAATTTCCATTACTTCTGTTGACGTTTTGACTAACAGATAAATTTTCTGGTCTCTTTTTGTTTATGCTAACTTGTTCTTGTCTCTTGGACCTTAATTTGCGTTCAGCCAATAGATAATATGTGGCAGTTATATGATTATACGCATTTTTATCCAAGCTCCTACAATAGATATTATAAGAACGTAATAAAACATAAATATAATAAACACACTCTTGAATTTCCTCTTTGGTGGCAATGTTTCCATTGACGATTTTTTGTACAATAAAATTATGATCCTCGTCACAGAGTTGTTCACGAGATACTAAGGGCAAAATGTCAATGTGGTCTTCCTTCTTTTGTTTTAACCATGGATGTTTAGCAATTTCTGTTAGTGTTGCTCGCTTCTCAGGATCTCGTATCAACATTCTCGAAATTAAACTACAAAAAAAATTTTGGAATTGGTCATTTTAAATATCACTTCAAGAGTTACTTACTCTTTACATTCGGTAGAAATATGTAACGGTACACTATATTTGCAGTCCATAATCATAGTAAGCGTTTCAGAATCATTTGCCTCCTGAAAAGGCGCATGGCCACAAACTAGCATATATAAAATCACCCCTAAAGACCACACGTCTAAAAAATCAAAACAAATGTGCACTCTTAATGAATAAAATTAAATATTATCTGCATACCAACAGCTGGAGCATCGTAAGAATCTCCTAAAAGTATTTCTGGAGCGGAATAAGCTAAACTTCCACAGGAAGTTTCAAGCTTTTGTCCAGGGCAGAATTTATTACTGAATCCAAAATCGGTTAACTTTACAACACCTAGATTTTCAAAAAACACAACATTCTCAGGTTTAAGGTCACGATGAACCACATGTAGACGGTGGCAATAGGAAATAGCTCTCACAATTTGACGAAAGTAATCTTTCGCTAATTGCTCCGATAGACCTGACTCGTGACGCATAATATAATCGTAGAGATCGCCACCATCACCGAGCTCGAGAATAAGATAAAGCTTAGTGGCAGTATCTATTACCTCATAGAGACGTACTACATTAGGATGTTGCACCAGCTTCATACATCGAACCTAGTTTCAAAAGAATGTAAATAATTTTTGTTATTAGAACACAATGTTACTGTAACATACCTCTTGAAATAGATGGGCTTTAGAAACATCATCAAGTTTACTTTTGTCTATAACTTTTACGGCAACTTTCTCGCCTGTGAAAACGTGTCGTGCTAATTTTACGACTGCGAAATGTCCTCTGCCCAAAGTTTCTTCGAGATCATAAAGTCCGGCAATTTTACCATCATAGACACCCGCAGAGTTGGAACGTAAGCTTAGCACACCTCCTCCTCTGCCGCCCACATTTGGACTGCGATACATTTTGACTTAAAAATAAAAACAATAATCATATAGATTATTTGTAATGAAAACAACAATCGTAAAATAAATATTCTTGTTATATTTTTGGATAATTGTATTTGCATATGCCATTTACATAAAAGTATCTATTATTCAGTTTCTTTTTAATGAACCAAGACGCCATTTACACCTATTAAATTTAATTGAACACATGTTAGATTACTGTTCACAAATAGTGAAGGGTGTGGGTTGTTCTAGTTTTAGGGAAATGCGAAGTTTAGCTCAGGATAGGAAAGAGTGGAGGTACGTGTCCAACCAGTCTTAGGACTGACGACCCTATGATGATGATGATGATGATGATGACATGTATTGGGAAGACAAATTAGTTTTTAAAACAAAGCATTGAAAACACCTGGATTTTTGAATGGTTGCTAATACGATAACGCATCACATGTTTATCTTAATCTACTGTACGTGAGAAAATGCTATTTCTTCAGTTATTATTATGTCAAATAAACAATTTAAATTATTTTCTGATAGAGTTTACTATCTTTATGTTTTGAGGTTTAAAACTCTTAGAGATTAAGTTGGACTTTAGAAGCTGACATTGTACGTAGTTTCGCGGTTTTAAGGTATTTCTATTTCGAGATCAATGTGAACATCAGTGGTTTCTTGAGAAAGTTGTTTACGTAAAAAAAGTCCTATAATTATAAAATTTCGGTATGTTAATTAAATACCTATACCTATTAACAAACCTGTTGCCATAATTGCTCAGCTACTTCCAACACTTTACGAAATCACTTCAATACTTATTTATGTTCAGCAGTACTAAGAACAATAACTTCTCTAATAAAATCGTACTTAATATTCATATTTTTTTATTCAAATTGGGATTAACTGTTAATTTTTGTACATCAATATTATTATTGTACGTACAAGGCAATGCTTAACACCTTTCAATTCTAATAACAAACCCTTGCCTCCTCAGAAGCCCCTGATATTGTTACATATTCGACTTCTGTACTTGACAGTGTGACAGTATTCTTTTTCTGCTTTTGCAACAAAATCTAGTGCACAACTTCTTGTTATAAATGTTACTTTCCCTAGAAAACCTTTTTAATGTATGTTATTTTTAGTGAAAAGAATATCATACTCCCGAGGGACTTCAAGATATTTTAGTATACACCACTATTTACATTACATCTCAACATGTAAGCACGCAAAAAATTAAGTTCCCTAGCACTAGTAAATAATTGAAAAATTGACCAAACCAGAAAAATACTAGAATGCCAAATTAAGAAAATGAATATATGAATGAAAAAGCTGAAAACAACTCTAGCTTTCCGGAAAGCAAGGCAGCATGACCGCCATTTAAGAAACCTCCATCGAAAGTATCCATATAACTACCAAGTTTGATGAGAACACTTTATGGACTACTTTCTTTACACAGGCACCTACAGGGTCTAATGCATGGACATGGAAGAAAATCACTGCACTTATCTGCGCCATGCATGATGGTACTGGGGAAATTTTAAATGCACTACGACTTGAAGAAATGGTGATTACCAGCAATTAGTAAAACAATTAGAAATGCGGACTTTTTATCACAGAATGCATACATGCATAAATGGGATACAGTGCTGATTTCTGCGACGTAATCATAGACTTGGGTGCTCTCCGGACATATGAATTTTACCTAAGCTTCCAGAGGAAAGTCTTAACATTGAATTGAGAAACATTTGAAGTCCATGCGCAAGACACTGCTGCTCCGCATGTTAAAGTTCATTTTATAGAGCATGTGTTTGATAAAAAAATCACATTTGAAGACATGTACAAAATTACAAGGCTGAATTCACTGCGGTTCTATCTGTTAGAGACGAACTGTTCAGAAACTTCACATAGAAGAAATACGGGCCTGGTGCCAATAAAAAATGGAAAAGCACGTGGTAATATTGTTCGTAATGATCCAATCCAACCAAAACGACAAAATTTCTGTGTAACAATATACGTAAACATAGTATAAGGTGTTATAAGTAATATTACCGTTTATTAACGAAAATTCTAGCACATATTTAACCTACAGTTCCATACATATATCTTTGTAGGTACCTAAAACTCACACTGGGGAAGAAAAATCCTAAGTTTATACTGTCAAATTGAAAAACTTTAAAAACAAAACTATATGGTGACCTTTGATGTAACAGGTCTATATTAAAAATAAAAACAATAATCATATAGATTATTTGTAATGAAAACAACAATCGTAAAATAAATATTCTTGTTATATTTTTGGATAATTGTATTTGCATATGCCATTTACATAAAAGTATCTATTATTCAGTTTCTTTTTAATGAACCAAGACGCCATTTACACCTATTAAATTTAATTGAACACATGTTAGATTACTGTTCACAAATAGTGAAGGGTGTGGGTTGTTCTAGTTTTAGGGAAATGCGAAGTTTAGCTCAGGATAGGAAAGAGTGGAGGTACGTGTCCAACCAGTCTTAGGACTGACGACCCTATGATGATGATGATGATGATGACATGTATTGGGAAGACAAATTAGTTTTTAAAACAAAGCATTGAAAACACCTGGATTTTTGAATGGTTGCTAATACGATAACGCATCACATGTTTATCTTAATCTACTGTACGTGAGAAAATGCTATTTCTTCAGTTATTATTATGTCAAATAAACAATTTAAATTATTTTCTGATAGAGTTTACTATCTTTATGTTTTGAGGTTTAAAACTCTTAGAGATTAAGTTGGACTTTAGAAGCTGACATTGTACGTAGTTTCGCGGTTTTAAGGTATTTCTATTTCGAGATCAATGTGAACATCAGTGGTTTCTTGAGAAAGTTGTTTACGTAAAAAAAGTCCTATAATTATAAAATTTCGGTATGTTAATTAAATACCTATACCTATTAACAAACCTGTTGCCATAATTGCTCAGCTACTTCCAACACTTTACGAAATCACTTCAATACTTATTTATGTTCAGCAGTACTAAGAACAATAACTTCTCTAATAAAATCGTACTTAATATTCATATTTTTTTATTCAAATTGGGATTAACTGTTAATTTTTGTACATCAATATTATTATTGTACGTACAAGGCAATGCTTAACACCTTTCAATTCTAATAACAAACCCTTGCCTCCTCAGAAGCCCCTGATATTGTTACATATTCGACTTCTGTACTTGACAGTGTGACAGTATTCTTTTTCTGCTTTTGCAACAAAATCTAGTGCACAACTTCTTGTTATAAATGTTACTTTCCCTAGAAAACCTTTTTAATGTATGTTATTTTTAGTGAAAAGAATATCATACTCCCGAGGGACTTCAAGATATTTTAGTATACACCACTATTTACATTACATCTCAACATGTAAGCACGCAAAAAATTAAGTTCCCTAGCACTAGTAAATAATTGAAAAATTGACCAAACCAGAAAAATACTAGAATGCCAAATTAAGAAAATGAATATATGAATGAAAAAGCTGAAAACAACTCTAGCTTTCCGGAAAGCAAGGCAGCATGACCGCCATTTAAGAAACCTCCATCGAAAGTATCCATATAACTACCAAGTTTGATGAGAACACTTTATGGACTACTTTCTTTACACAGGCACCTACAGGGTCTAATGCATGGACATGGAAGAAAATCACTGCACTTATCTGCGCCATGCATGATGGTACTGGGGAAATTTTAAATGCACTACGACTTGAAGAAATGGTGATTACCAGCAATTAGTAAAACAATTAGAAATGCGGACTTTTTATCACAGAATGCATACATGCATAAATGGGATACAGTGCTGATTTCTGCGACGTAATCATAGACTTGGGTGCTCTCCGGACATATGAATTTTACCTAAGCTTCCAGAGGAAAGTCTTAACATTGAATTGAGAAACATTTGAAGTCCATGCGCAAGACACTGCTGCTCCGCATGTTAAAGTTCATTTTATAGAGCATGTGTTTGATAAAAAAATCACATTTGAAGACATGTACAAAATTACAAGGCTGAATTCACTGCGGTTCTATCTGTTAGAGACGAACTGTTCAGAAACTTCACATAGAAGAAATACGGGCCTGGTGCCAATAAAAAATGGAAAAGCACGTGGTAATATTGTTCGTAATGATCCAATCCAACCAAAACGACAAAATTTCTGTGTAACAATATACGTAAACATAGTATAAGGTGTTATAAGTAATATTACCGTTTATTAACGAAAATTCTAGCACATATTTAACCTACAGTTCCATACATATATCTTTGTAGGTACCTAAAACTCACACTGGGGAAGAAAAATCCTAAGTTTATACTGTCAAATTGAAAAACTTTAAAAACAAAACTATATGGTGACCTTTGATGTAACAGGTCTATATTAAAAATAAAAATAGTTGTATTTGAGAAAGTGAACTAAAAAATTAAATAGTTAATTCAGCAACGTAAAAAAATGAAACTACGTTTCAATGTAGTGTTACGCAATTAAAATACTTTTACAGAAAATAGAAAAGCACATCCGATTAACACATAAAACCGAACCAATATTCCAAATATGAAAACAATTGTTCCAAAAACCAGTCGTGTAAAACAACTAAAAAGTAAGTAGAAAGCACACATTTAGTCAACGCAATGGAAACAAGAGATGTCCTGTGCTCATCACATATAAGTTAATTGACAATGTACTTAAGCACAGTTTGTTAATATTTCTGTCTTTATTTCAAATACAGAAATAGTTGTGGACATATTTGTTTAACAACAAACTACTATTATAAAATATAATAGAAAATTGTAACGTTTTGGTGTAAAAAAAAATGTCCCTTTCATGTAACGATACACATAATAGACCAATTGACAACCGAAAGTCTAAGCTTCTAGCGCAAGTAGATTGGTTTCTATCCTACACGTTCCATTCAATTTTTGTCCCTTTCAAGCCACCTCACTAGCTGGATATTAATTTTTTGTTAAATATTACAAAAATACCATTTACGATGTGACGGTCATAATCATCATAAGATCGTCTGTCCTAATACTGGTCAGACACACACCTCCACTCTTTCGTATCGTGAGCTAATCTTCACATTTCTCTAAAACTAGAACAACCTACATCCTTTGCTATTTGTTTTAAACAGTAATCTAATCGAGATCTACCTCTACCCCTCCTAACTCCCGTTTCTGCCTCTAATACGTTTCTGACTAGACCTTCATACCCGAGGTGTCCTACCAACCCATCTAGCCTATTTCTTATTGACTTCCATAGAGTCCTTTGTTCTCCTATTCTTTCTAATATCTCTTCATTTCTAACCTTCTCTATGCACGGTATCCTCATCATTCGTCTGTAACACCATATTTCGAACGCTTCTAACATTTTCTTTTCCGCAGTCTTGTCTTGTCCCATTTAACATTGTCAAAAGCTTTCTCTAAATCTACAAATCCTATGTACGCACTTTTTCTGTTTTTATCGTTTTCCCTATTGTTTCCCGTAAAGCTAGAATGTCCTCCCGCGTTTCTCTATTTCTTCTAAACTCAAATTGATCTTCCCCTACTAGTTCTTCCGACTTTTTTTCCATTCTCCTCTGTATGATTTTAGTTAAGATTTCTGACGCATGGGAAATTAGGATAATTGTTCTAAATGTCTCACACCTATCCACGCCTCTTTTTTTTTTTGGTATGGTTACTACCACGTTCCGTTTATAATCCTCTGAAACTTTTCCCGTCTCGTAAATGTGAGGATAACGATACGAAAATTCATTGGGATATAGAAAGCCGTAAATTGCGCATAAAATAATTGAAAAAAACTAATATTATTACGTAAAATATAATTTTCCAAGAAGTGAAACAATAAAAAGATGCAACAGGACAGCTACCACAGAATAACAGAGTTCGAAAATCACCTTTAATGGACATATTGTACATACTTTCAGGGTATCAACAGCAATCTCTGAATGCCACAGAAAGGCAGAACAATCAAGTTACTATAAAAGTAAATAAACATGATATCACGAGCCTCATTTAACGTAACCATTATGCCTTTTTTCCAGTAGTTAGAACCAAAATGGAGGTCGAGTAAACTCACCTCTTTGAAGATGGCATAGCAAAATTAGCAGGCAAAAATATAAACCATCGGATAATTAGCCGTAAATTAGTCTCAAATTATCTGTGAAAGCGAAAAATAAGCCTCGACCCGGGAAACTAGAAAACCAGTTTACATACTAACTTTAAATGGGGTCAGCTTACCATACGTGTCAAATCAGTTGGGAAAATCCTAATCGGTTAAAAACCGGGCTCTTAATTAGCCGTTAGCGATGTAAACTACTAATCAGAAAGTTAAATAACGTCATTTTTCGATCTAGACGTCCGAC